AGTGATGGTTATTAGCTTACATGTATATGCAATGAAATGTTTTGTGAACTTTTGTCTGTAGTACTGAACAGGATAAAACTTTACTAATGCCAAGTATTTCTTTTTTTGAAACAAAGATGAATTCTGAGCAATTATTTGAACAAAACAAAGACCAATAGGGGAGAACAATGGTGGCATTACTCCTGAACTGCTATTTACGATATTTTATCAAAATGACGTTTTTTTGGGGGGTTGTTTTTGGTAGCAAGATGCCTTGACGTAGTGAGAAAAAATATGTAAATATTTATACACGAACACAACTTAAATATTAAAATCAAATATATAAGCAACATTATTCTGCTCTGTATTTTTCAATAAACAAATACTTCTAATTTTGATATTATGACAAACAACGGACTCGGGGTGAACGTCAAGGAGAAAACAGTCAATCCTAAAGATTAACCTAAAAATAATAAAACTTGCCTGTATTGGGAGAGATTTTTCAAAACAGACAAACTATCCGAATTTAAGTTTGAAAAACATTCCGCTCAAACCGGAGCCTTCTTAAACTTGCAGTGAGGTGAGAGTAATATTTTCTATTTCTAGTGCTTTTTTTTTATCGAAGATTAGGGAGAGTTAGCTTTCAAAATCATGTGTCAATTTTAATGTTTACATTTTGATGCATTGCTTTGCGAGTGTTTATTAATCTTAGGTTAAAGAGGGTCAGCTTCAAAACCATATTAATCCTGTGACGTACGTAAGTTGCAGTAAAAATTAGTTGCATGAATATAGGGGAGGCTATTGTCCTACTGACAGTTTCTCACTTAATAATACTGTACAAATAATTTGTTGTATAAACTGTCAATACTGTTTGCTGTCTCTGTAACCTTTTAATTACTTCTACGATGGTCATTGTACCAAACATGAGGGTATAAACTAGTGATCTTCTGTGAAGGGTTGATGATAACCTGTAGATATTTACTATTTTATTGTGAATGAGAATCCTGATAAAAACTAAATAGTTCAACAATTCCATTGGTTTGTATCTATGGGCCGCGGATTAAGTCAAAATTGTTCTACTTAAGGAGGTCTTGAACTATTTCAGAACCGTCGTAATTCAAATTCAGGATATCTATAAATCATCGAGCTCCTCCATAACTCGATATTAGGGTATTCTGAAATATTCCAGGACTTCAAAGAATAATCGGTCATAATTGCTTTGTTATCGGAGATCCTAAAATATTTCAGGACATCCTTATTTATGAAGCTCCAAAACTACATATTTCAGGAAACTTACTATCAGAATTCCTGATATCTTTAAATATCTATGGAGGTCCATAATCAAGTTTTATTTCAGGACAACCAGAACTCAATTTCAATACTGACCTGAAATCGAACTATATGGAGCTCCTTAAACACAGCAAATTTGACTAAATGCGCGCTTCAAATGTCTCCGTATTTTTGAAATGTTCATTTTTAATTCAGGGTTAGAAACATAATAAAAATACGTTTAACATCGAATAGTTGATTGATTATTTGGTGTTTAACGCCACTTTCATCACTTCTTGATATATAGTAGCAGCCATTTTCATTGATAAAGAAGCCAGGGTACCCGGAGAGACACACCGAAATTTTGTAGGAAAACTAACAAACCTAGTACATTTATATAGAAGTCTTACTCACAACCTTAATTTTGACAGGATAGTGTTAACTCTAGATGAGCTACTTAGACTACTGGATCAAAGAGGCCCCTATATATACTATTGAAAGTTGGCTATCCAATTAAAGATCATCACAAAGGCGTCCTATAAAAATTTCAAAAGATCAAAAGAGATGTAGTAAAATGGTGTTAATTAAAATAGTTTTTTTCTGCTTAAATTATATCCGGTATAAAGGAGATTTGTGTTGTATTATTCTCTTTTTTTTTCTTTGTATATAAGTGACACCTAACATTCACGCATTACAAAATCCATCCAAATACCGAATGCAAAAAAAATCTTATTCGGAAGACTCCATATACATAGTATTTAATTGTAATTATATTACAAGATAATGATAAAAAAAACCATATTAGTATTACTATTACTTACATCAATACTCAAGACAAATGTATTACATTTATAAATGGGTTTTAACATAATATTGTAGGCCCGACATCATCAGGGATTCATCTTTAATATTATTTCAATTTTGTCGACGTTAATAAATCAGCTATATGTTTATGCTTTTTATAAGCTATTATTGCTTTGACCAAAAATATTTCTTTCCAAACCTTATCATGTCTAAGTAGATCCCAATGTTTGATGATGCATTGTCTTAATTTGTATCACGATACCTTTCATGGAAAAAGATATTTTTCTATGTTCAAACTTAGAAAGAATTTCGTTCATGATTTTATACATAAGACTGTCACAGATGTCAGGGCTTGGCACTGCTCCAATCGCGGCATCTATGTTTTGCTCATAAAGCTTTTATTAAGATTAAAAATGTTGTTTTCTATAATTGATCTGAGGAGATAAACTAGATCATTCGTAGGAGGGCATTTGATTTTATACTCTGACTTATCAAACTGATCAAACGAAATTCTAACTGCCGATGATAGTTCAAGGATCAGGCAATTAGTGTACATAGAGACTACATCAAAACTGCAAAGCCAGCAATCTGCATTAGGCTTAATGTGTTCCAACTTGCATATCAAATCAGACGTATCTTGTATGTAAGTGTGTTGACTTTGTACTATAGGTACAAGAAAATAATCAATATATCGTCCAATAAATTCCGTAACAGTGTCTATCTGAGATATGATCGGCCGACAAGGCGGCATTGCGTTTTCAGTGTTATTTATTTTCGATTCATTTGATCTGTGTATTTTACATGTTTTAGGCAAGATATGCATATATCCACATGATCCAGGGCCATACTTAATTTGATTACCATTATTAAGGTAATTAAATGTGAAATATAACAACTTCGGTGAACATGCCTTTTACATATGTGTTGATATTAGATCTATGTGCTTTTATGTCAAAATTATCCATTTTGGTGTAATGTTGTGTATTTAATTGGCGATCGCCTTCAGATAGGTTATTGACCTTATCTAAAATAACAACATTATTACTCTTATCAGCTTTCTTAATGATTAATGTTTCATCATTTAACAGAGAATAAATACAGCACTTAGATTATTCCTATAATTTCGAATTTGCATTAAAGTCAATTCATAATTTGTTTTAAACAGGTAATGTTCAAGGGTGTTGCAGGTAAATGGTGATGTGTGTCCAGTTTTAACCCTGAAAGGATGAATTTCATCCAAGTTGCCGTGACATAAGTAACGAAATCTCATTTTCCTGGCTAATTCATCGAAATCATGTAATAAGTCGTGCTTTGCCCTTATGACTAGGGGTGCAGAAATGAATTTCAAACCTCTGGATAGCACTAAATACTCGTCATTAGTTAATTTTTTCGTGCGAAAGGTTAATGACCTGTTTTTTTATCTTGTGATAGCATGAATGTTATCTTACTTCACTGCATTGCAGCTTTGTTTTTCAGCCTTCGTTTATGTTTATTTCTTTTTGCATTTTTTTTTATAATGGCTAGTGGCTAGCCATTTCTCTGATCACAGAGACTAGTATCTGAATGAACATTATCAAAGCAAAATTTTATAATACAGAATTGTTAAAGGCGTGGTGTATTTGCCTAAACTGATTTTCATTGGCTTAGTTACTTCTCCAATTATATAAAGACAAAGAAGTACTTCAATACATACCAATCTAATGGATATTTTAAATTTCAAATTACATAGTAAACAAGAACAAAAGAAAGTAATTACAAGTCTAGTAATACTAGCATCATTTTTATCATTATATTGTAATACAAGTCCTATTAAATACTGTGTATATGGAGTCTTCCGAATAAGATTTTTTTTTGAATTCGGGATTTGGATAGATGTTGGAATGCGTGGGTGTTAGGTGTCACTTACATACAAACGTTCTGATAATCCCTTTTTAAGATTTCGTGTCCAAAGCGATTTTCTGATTTGGCTGCCCTCATAATCCCTTATCAACATGATCAAGCCCTATCCGGGAAAATGTTTTTAACAACCTTACTTCAAACCAATACCTTTTACACCAACATCAGCATTCCTTACAACCGAAGTAGGTAAATATTAATAGAAGACATTTCATCCTTTAAGATTCTCCGGGCGGCCAACTCAGAAAATTGCTCCGAACACAGAATTCCGAAAGGATAAGGGTTTTGAATATCATATAGGCACTTTGGTTACATATTTTTGGTTAGTGGGTACCAGAGAGCATAACAAACATAGTTATTGTAGTAAAACATAAATTATAGGTCTGAATTATGTCATTTTTTTTGCTGAATATTACTTTTAACAAAAAAGAATAATAAAAAAAACGAGAAATCAAGACGTTTTAAACATGATAAAATGGAGTGCTTTAAGCTATCTGTTGAAATTTATTGCAGGCAAGTGGATTTGATTTAATGTAATTTTCAAAAATAGATGTTATTCATAGTAGGGGAAAAAGGAGTCTGATATATCTTGGTCAATGGTCTGTAAGTTTCGATACACTGGTCCTATCAAATTAAATTATTTGTACAATTGTAATTCCAATTCTTTCTTCCTTTCTTTAAATAATAAGGAGAGTGACTAGCTATTGGTTTTTTTTAAATATAAACATTACATACCGCTTTTAAAAATGTTTTTAGGTAAGATTGAACGAGATTATCGGTCTGAAACAGATTATATTGCCTTTAGAATATAAAACAATCATCGGCAAGAGTAATTTGTTCAAGCTAAACACAAATAAAATTCATAAAAAGCACAGCTGTGCGTTCAGTCTTTTATAGGCACGTGACATTCACTAGTATACTGCAATCACTGCAATATGTATCAAATATCTCGTATTTTAATTTGATACTTTGAAAACAACAGAAACATCTGTTGCTACTATTATGTATTAAATGCAATTTAAGATCATTTCTATATAAATCAATAGTCTGCTGTTTAGTTCTTCATTCTTCATTTCACTTAAACATGCTAAATATAGTTGCTGTTGCGTTTTGTTTATTTGTCCTCTATTGTGACGTCATGATTGCGAGGAGCCATGCGTATAGCCATTCTGGTATGTTACATACTTTCATATTAGGAAGCATTATTTTACAAATCAATATACTACGTTCGAGATAAGGGTAACATGGGATTTATTTTTTTTTTTATTTCTGAGTGATTCTAAATTTTGGTAATATTTCGTTCTCCAAAAGGTAATCAAATATTAATGTTAACATTATTCCGTCATTTCACTATTTTGTCATGCGCAACTTGCATTACTTTTGACAAACCATGCTCTCGTTGAAATTATTTCTCTTAACAATCCCCACTCTCTACAAGCGCTTTGACAATAAGATAGTTAAGTTTCCTTTCAAATAAAATAACAATAAACTTAAAAGATAACAGGCATATAATTGTGTATGCCAGACGCACATTTCGTCTACGAAAGACTCATCAGTGATGAACGAATACAAACATTTAAAGGTCAAATCAAGTACGAAATTGAAGAACATTGTGGACCAAAATTTGGAATGATTTCGCCAAATACAGCTACGGTAAAAAATTCTGAGGTACATCTAGAAACCATTTATGATGTCAGTAGAAGTGGCATTTATACTGGTAACGGACATTTTTTAAAATTCAATTTGTAGTTAACAGTATGTTCGAACATTAAATTGATTATAAATGGATCCTAAATCGGTTCGGCCTAACTATTTCACTTTTATTTGTGGAATTTCGAAAGAAATCTCGAAAGCAAGTATTATGTCAATTTTCAAAGTAAAAAAAATCTATAAGATGATTACTGTTGATTTACAGCGAACATCCATTATGTAGATATTGGTGTGCAAACGTCAACTTGGGAGCCCGTTATTTACAAATGCAAGTAAACTCGGATAAAAGCAAACAGTTTCAAATTACCACTGGTCTTTCAGTAGATATTTTTTGAAACGCTTTAAGGGTGAAGCTTTGAAGGTTTAGGGAGACAGACTGTTCCATACAAGGATGGCACATGGGTGTCAATAGCTATGTTTTTAAAGAATATGTGGAGATCCTGGTATTGTTGAATTGCTTTAAATGTTAATGTCGTGCTCGTTGATGATCTTCTTCCATAAAAACGTATGATGACAATTCCCTTTATATTCACTGTTAATTTGTTGGTTTTCCGTCTTTGTTCAAGAGTCTGTCATACACGGGTTTTTAAGATGTTTTTTACTGTCACTGGTTATCCACATTATGCTGAAATTGCATATCGGGCAGCGGTAGTAATTTGAAAATTAAAGTGATGTTTCCGTTATTATCCTTAACGGAAGATGTTCACTCAAACTGTACACGTCTTGAGATTTATATCAGCATGTGTTTTAATGTCTTATAGACACTTCCAAATGTGGTACTAGTCGAAGATCGTCTAATTGTTCAAGATAGGTGACCTGCGAACAATATAACTATTCGATCCTTGCGAACTGCTCGACAGCCGGTTGTTGTTAGTTTGTATGTTTTGTTGTACTGTCTTATATTCTTTGGTAAATTCCGATATCCTTTTACGTATTACAGTGCCTGGGAAAGCATGTTTACATATGTTACTTTAAAGTAGGAAAGGTGGAAACCCAGCTGTCAGTAAATTTCTATGCAACCAGGCTATGTAATAAACAGAACAAAGCTTAATTTTCTGAAACTACAAGACAATTTTGAACATAATCGACATTTTTATAAATAAGTACTTTTAAAGTATTTTACTTTTTGCCAGAATGATAATTGTTGTCTTTTAAGTTACTTTCAGTTTATTTGCCCGGGTTTAATGTCATTTTCCATCTCAATGCTCACTGAAACAACTCAATCTGATAAAGTTGTAGTTGATTGTTATCTTCAATGGTCTTGATTGAGCTGCATAGTACTAAAGCATTTGCAAATGATAGACTTTGATGATATTATATATAAAAAGAAGATGTGGTATGGTTGCCAAATGAGACAACTCTCCACAAGAGACAAATGACACAGAAGTCAACAACTATAGGTCACCGTACGGCTTTCAACAATTAGCAGAGCCCATACCACATAGTCAGCTATAATAGGCCCCGAAATTACAAATGTAAAAACAATTCAAACGAGAAAACTAACGGCCTAATTTATGTACAAAATAATGAACGAAAAACTAATATGTTACACAGCAACAAACGACAACCACTGAATTACAGGCTTCTGACTTGGGACAGGCACATGCAGAATGTGGAGGGGTTAAACTAGTTTGAAGACGCCAACCCTCCCCCTAACCAGGGACAGTGGTGTAACAGTACAACATAAGAACAAACTATGAAAATCAGTTGAAAAAGGTTTAACTCATCAGATGGATACAAATAGAAATACATCTAACAACAACACAGTGGACGTGGATGGGAACTTATACATCCCCACAACAAAAAGACACTAAGTTTAGATCTGAGAGTACTCGCAGTTACTAACAGCTATTTCAAAGACAATAACAACTAATAAAAAAGTCATTCATCTGAGACTAAAATATCAATCAGGTAACTTCCAACAACCAATGAATTTATTGTAAAGACGTCATAAACAGCCAGAGAATCACATGACCTTGTGCAATTCCAAGATACAGGTATCGAAAGATTGTAGAGCCATGAACGTGCATAATTTTATGTATATAAAAATAATATTTAGTTTGATTTTAATTTACGGATAACAAAATCAATATTAATACCATTAAAACAATATTCAAAGATCAAATTACAGTGTTGAATTGGTAACCTTTTAGAATAAGTTTATCTAAAGGATCGATAAGTTTACCCGGATCGTTTCTAAATTTCCGGGCTAGGTAAACAACATCTCCGTTAAATGAGGATGTGCTATCCCGTTTGAAATAAGTTTTCTACCGGTACAACGAAACTTCAAAACCAAATCTGTATATCTATGGAAGAATTTAGTAAAGGTTTTAAGTAATTTGTGGTAACGAAATCCCAGAATTAATAATTTACCAGTTATACATAGATTACGTTCATTGAAATCCAAAACGTCACAACAGACACGGGCATAGCGAACGAGTTGTGATATATAAACACTGTAAGATGGTGCCAAAAGAACATCACCGTCCAAAAAAGTAAAATTAAAAACAGGGAACGAAAAATCGTTCCTTTTGTCATGAATTTTAGTGTAGAGTTTACCGTGTAAAACTGAAATATCTAAATCTAGGAAAGGACAGTTATTACCCTGTATATTTGATTTATTCAAAGTAAGTTCCTTTGGGTAAATTTCGGCAGTATATTTAGAAAATTCTTGATTATTTAACGAAAAAATATCATCAAGATAACGGTAAGTGTTGTTGAATTTATCAATTAAATGCAATTTAGACGGGTCTTTACCGAGTTTTGTCGGTTATGTTTACCCTATATCATTGACATGTAGAATATGAAACACAGCGGTTACAATAAGAAACTTTGTGTTACTCCTGACTAACTGGTTTGTTTTCACTGGTATTTCAATCTTGTACTCTCTGAAGTTTTTAAATAAGCCATGATGAAATACATTACAGAGTGGTGTTAATCCCAGGTCTATTGTGTATGAAGTACAGTGGATTTTAAAACAAAATTACAAGCCATTGCATCTGTTATAAATACATAGTCTTCCCAAAGGCTGTTGAAAATTAATATCCTTACACAAAAAATTATTGAATTTCTTTTGCATGAAAAGTTAAAGTAATATTTTTGCAGCATTATTTCATGATATACATAATCGTACCTCGCACTACAAATCAATGTATGGATGGTTTAAAGGGAGGTTCAACAGCCCGAACCTTCGGTGTTTTAAAAAATTATTGACCAATATTTATACAAAATGAAAGAAATTAGCCTTTACATTTTGCAAGAAGCGCGGGAGCAATCAATTCTTATATTTCCAGATCTTCGAAATGAGATATAATTATATATATATACGTTTTACTAAAACTTCAAACAAGATAGCTCGTCAAATATTTATCAACTATAAATAGAAATAATTGTCAATTACTTTTTCAAATTGATAAAATTTGGAATTTTAAACAAAAAATAACTGTTTGCACGAAGAGCACGAACATATCGTTAAAATAGTGTTGATTTGAATAGGTGGACGGCAGTAATATTTCTATAATCTGGGCTGTTTTCAAAAAAAAAAAAATGGAAACATATGACGGAATGGAATGATTCCTCGTTCGGTCAAGAAAAGATCAACATTTGTATTAATTAAACACCTACTGAAAATATATAGATACTGGAACTGGTATATGTTTATGGTAAAGGCGTGCTTTATAGATATTCATGAATTCCCTTTTTTCCAGAAGAATGCAGGTATCCATTTCGAACAATAGAGAATAGCTGTTACTTTATCAGCAGGGCGAAAGCGACTCCAGATCAAGCATTTGTAAGTTAATAAGTCATGTTTAAATATATAATGAAACAATGTATTGAGGCTCAAAATCTTTGATATATTTGACTTTCCAAATTTTTGGTTTAGTAGGGGAGGATCAACGGTCCGAGGAAAGGGGAGTAGGCGTAATAGAAGTAAATGGTTAAAAAGAATGTGATGGCCATTTTCTAACACTTTTTTCCGGTCACGGGGATGGATTATGCAAAAAAATATATATTTCATTATCAAATACGAATTACAATTATTAGACGTAATCTATAAATCTGAATTTAATTTGCTTGATATTACGATATCAGCAGCCCTTTAAGGGGCTTTTTCAAATCCTATCACTTTCACTCTTATTTTCAAAAGGTTATTCAATTTTTACATTACATAATTAAAACATTTTTTTCACTAGGCATTGTGTTTACGGCGTGGTGCATACCTTGCCAATTTTGAGACTTTGGAAGAGGCCATGTTGATGAAGTATGAACTTCAACAAATGAAAACAGGTATATCATCATTAAAGTTGTAATATTTGTTTGTTTCATTATTAAATTAAGTAAATTTGGTACTATTGCCAATGAGGCAATTATAAACCATAGACCAATGGAGGAGGAAATAAGCAGCTATAGGTCAATTAACGTACGACCTTCAACAATGAACAAAATCAATACTATATAGTATAATATAAAAGGCTCTAGCATGCTAGAATATGAAACAATACAAAAATTAAACCAACCGCATGATTTATGCTAAAATAACTTAACCAGATATGGCAGACAGCAACCAACGACAACCACTGCATTAAAGTATAGTAATTTGGAAGATGCGCGTAAATGTTGTGGCGGGTTTGAAAGCTCTCAACCCTATCCCTTTAAAAGAACAGTTGCTTGGTCTTTTATCGTAACTATCACTGTTTGTTTAAATATTTATGCTCACAGATATCTTGTTTCGAGTAGAGTGATTCAAAGCACTTACAGTGCGTCTTAAAATACAATTGAATGCTTATTATCGGGTTACAGATAAGCTGATGTTGTTGTTCTGTTTTATTTGAACTAGTTTCTATTGAACTTACTGTTTAACAGATTTTTCATTCAGCTCGATTTCAAGTTAAACATATGACAATAAAATGTCTCTCGTTGTACACCCTCGTCAGTTTGCCTCTGGATGATAGTTTGTTCGTTGGTAATCATATCATATCTCCTTATTTTTGTACAACTAGAAGCCCAGAATATAATATAATTTTGTTGATTCTTGATAAAAAAAAAAGAACTTTCAACTGTATTTTTCAATGCATTGTACATAACTAATTAGTTTTCTAAATACTAAAACTTGTCATTAAATTAATTAGTTTTAGTATGTTATATTTTCTTGAACAAAGGTATCCTTAAATTGTTTTGTCGTAATGTTTATGTCATCTTCCGGGAGGAAGGGTTTGTATAGTCTATGTGTAAGTAAAATGGACAATAATGCAACAGTTAACACCAGCCATGATCGACGTATGAGTAGTTTTAATGTAATGTTCCATGCTCCTGTTGGTACATATTGGTATTATATTTGTCATTATTACATGTATTACTTCACACCGAGTATAAGCGAATCATTGCGTAGGAATATACATAAATCTCAATAACAAAGTAATTCTTTATAGGACTGTAAGAATGTCAAGGTATGAAATGAACACGTGACTATTTTTCAAGGTTTACACTTCCATGTTGGAGGGCGCAACATAAACAGATACGTCCCTGGCGGAGACTGGAGATGGATACAAAACGGAAAAATGATCAAAATGACGTACAAAGCTTTTGGTTCTGGACAACCTGGCGGATCGAATGCTGCCCTAGAAGACTGCATGTTTTTTTATGCAGGAGAAAGATATACCTTTCACGATCTACACTGTGACCACCCCTCATGGAGTAGTGGATATAGTTGTGAGAAGTGATGAAATAAATATCTTTAAACTTTGCTTATAACTATTTTATTACTGTTGAAAACATACTGTTTCTGAAAAGATATACGAGAGTATACACAATCATTTCTAGCATTTCATTGGCTAAAGGGATTTTCTGTTTTGCTTTTGGTGATCTTCCTAATGTTCTTTGATAGTCGTCCAATGATTTTTCAGATTTGTACCATATAAACACGCGGAGATGTGGAATGATTTCCAATGAGACAAGTATCTTCCAAAAACCAAATGACATAGATAGACACAACTATAGATTACCGTACAGTCTAATAAATCAATGAGCAAAACCTATAACGCACAGCAAGCTATGAAAGGCACATACACCATATCTCACTGTAAGATCAAGATATCATCCTTTCTCTAACTCTTACCCGATTTATCCTTTTTCTGTTGGTTATTTGTATTTTATCAACGTGTGGTTTGTTTGATCTCAGTTATTCATTGGTCAAATTTCGATTATGACGTCAAGTTTTCTTGCTTTCCTCTGAATTTCCTATTGTGGCGTCATGAAAAAAGGCGACCATGCCTGATGACGTCGCATAAAAAGAACAGTCACATCTTTTTTGCAGATCATTTGAAAAGAAGGTATAAGTTTGCTTGCATATTGTTTAAAAATCATTAGAGAAACAGATTCCACCACCAAATCGCGTGTAATACGATATTTATCAACTCTTGACAGTTAAATTTTAAATGTTTAAAACGCTCGGCGAGCCTCGCGTTTTAAATTTGAAAATTTAACTGTCTCGATTGGATAGATATCATATCAAACTCGATGCAGTGGTAGAATCTATATTTATCAAATTAATTAATAGTGATTGTTGAACAAAGGTTTAAGGATCTGCGTTATTTGATTTTGTGAATAATAACCGTTTCACGGTAAAATAAATAAAAACCTTCATAATAAATTTAGAGTTTTGATCATGATAACGCCCCCTTTTTTAAGTGCATTCGTTTTGTTCAAATACATGCGTTTTCGTGTTATCATATAATAAAATATTATATTTCAATGGCATTTTTAACACGTTGTAAATAATATAAGTTGTTTTGATACTATTTCATACTTCTTCCAAGAAGATGAATTTAAATAAGATTAACATAGTGGTTAGAAAAATCCGTGTAAGAAGAAATAACTCTAAGAAAGAAAAGTATTCGGTAGGGTCAGTTTCAAAATCGCACAAAATGTATAAAATCATCTTTACAATATCTTATTGACCTATTGAAAAATAATGTGGCGAAAGATGAAACAAATATTTCAAAGCAAATTGTTCCCAGAAATCGAAGGTCTTTCAATCTTTTAATCTGCTATGTTTGTGAATAAGAAAATGGAAGACAAAATAGTAATTCCCGTTGTAAAAAGTCACTCTTGTTGTTAGTAGATGGCTAACCTTACACTTATTTTTATAAAAACATGACTTATGAACTAGTTAAATATGACAAAAGAGGAAAGTAATTAGTACATTGCAGTTTACATGAAGCAACTTACTGCGTTATACAATTGTTTACTCAGCACGCATTCCATATATAATTGTTTATTTTCACTTGAATTGAGGGAGATAGTTACCTACTGTCGGTTTATTAGAGACCACTTCAAATGTTATATAAGGTTATTTTATACTGATTCCAGGAAAAATGGCTTATACTGCCGAAATTTACCCGCAGCAGCTTACTTTAAATAAATCAAACATTAACAGCAATACGTGTCCTTTCTTAGATTTAGATATTTCAGTTTTACACCAGAAACTCTACACAAAAATTTACGACAAAAGGGATGATTTTTCTTTCCCTATTGTTAATTTTCCTTTTTCTGACCGTGGTGTTCCTCTGGCACCAACTTGCGGTGTTTGTATATCCCAACTTGTTCGTTATGCTCGTGTCTATAGTGACGTTTTGGATTTCAATGAGCATAATCTATGTACTACTGGTAAAATATTAAGTCAGGGATTTCGTTACCATAAATTACTTAAAACCTTTACTAAATTCTTCCATAGATAGAAAGATTTGGTTTGCAAGTTTGGCTGTACCTGTAAAAAACTTATTTCAGACGGAATTACACATCTTAAATTTTACGATGATGTTATTTACCGAGCCCGGAAATGTATATACGATCTGGGTAAACTTATCAATCCTTTAAATAAACTTATTCTAAAAGGTTACCAATTCAACATTGTAATTAGATCTTTGAATATTGTTTCATTGGTATAAATATTGGTTTTGTTATCAGTAAATTAAAATCATACTTATAGTTTTGTTATACACATATGCACTTTAACGGTACTACAGTCTGTCGATCATTTATTTTGGCATTTCACAAGGTCTTGTTTTTCTCTGACTGTTAATGACGATTTTATACTAAATCCATTGGATGTGTACTGATTGATATTTTAGTCTTAGATACATAAATTTTTTTATTAGTTGTTATTGGCTTTGAACTAGCGGTCGGTAACTGCAAGTATTCTTAGATCTGTACTTAGTATCTTTTTGTTGTGAAGATGTAAAAGTACCCATCCACGTCCACTCTACGTTTTTGTTAGATGTATTTCTATTTGTATCCATCTGATGAGTTAAACCTTTTTCAACTGATTTTTATAGTTTGTTCTTATGTTGTACTGTTACACCACTGTCCCAGGTTAGGGCGAGGGTTGGCGCCTTCAAACTAGTTTAACCCCTCCACATTCTGTATGTGCCTTTACTAAGTCAGGAGCCTGTAATTCAGTGGTTGTCGTTTGATGCTGTGTAACATACATGTATTTGTTTTTCGTTCATTATTTTGTAAATAAATTTGGTCGTTAGTTTTCTCGTTTGAATTGTTTTACATTTGTCATTTCGGGGCCTTTTATAGCTGACTATGCGGTATGGGCTCCTTTTTGTTGTTACAGATGACGGCTGGATAAATACCCTGTCACGTCCGGTCTGTGTTTATGTTAGATGTTTTTCTGCTTTGTATTGATCTGATGAGTTAAGCCTTTGTCAACTGATTTTTATAGTTTGTTCTTATGTTGTGCTGTTACACCACTGTCCCAGGTTAGGGGGAGGGTTGAGCGCTCACAAACATGTTTAAACCTGCCACATTCTTTATGTGCCTGTTCCAAGTCAGGAGCCTGTAGTTCAGTAGTTGTCAATGGTTCATGTGTGTCATATTTATTTTTCGTTAATTGTTTTGTTATAAATTAGGCCGTTAGTTTTCTCGAATAAATTGTTTCATATTTTTCATGTCGGGGCCTTTTATTGCCGACTATACGGTATTGAATTTTCTCATTGTTGAAGGCCGTACGGTTGCCTATAATTGCTAACATCATCTTTATTTGAACTTTTGTGGATAGTTGTCGCATTGGCAATCATACCTCATCTCCTTATTTTTATATTAAGGAACATTTTTATGAAAAATGAGAAAATAATCTTCTTTTGGTTTATTGAAAGCCACTTCTTGTGTCGTACGACAGCTCACATTGCGAAAATGTGTGGTTCGTGGGCACTTTCTTGAATCAAGTGCAAAAAACAACTACCTCATGTGTATTAAGGTCACTTCCATTTGACTTTTGGAACTATTTTGGAACACAAAACGAGGTAGGATAAGCAATGGAAAAAATAATGACTGGATTCGTAAATTGAATCATAACAGTCGGATAAGTGAATTGGAACACACTATCCAGATTCAAAATAACCAAATTCCAGACTTGAAAAAAAAGTATTCATAAATAGTAAGAATGATCGCACAAATTTAAAAATAATCCCATGAATAATCCTCCTAAATGAAAAAAACGATGCATTGACTCTTTTCTAGAAATATTTTACCATTTCGAAAACCTCAGTAGAAGAAATTAAGAAACATTTAAATGAAAAAGAGATATGGGAAGAATGAGAACCTGAAGAGAATGTCTAACAGAAAAGATTTTCTTAAAGTATTTATTAATTTATTTAGAAAAACAGTTTAATTAATAAAGTATATTATATCGTATCAAAGATTACTTGTCGCTATTGAAACCATGCTCAAAGTATCTATCCTGCTCATTCATAATCATTGCGTCCTATATTCTAAGATCGAGGACTGTACTTTTAAAGGGCGCGAATGAATGCAATGAGAACGAAGGACTCAAGCACTCAAAGTTTAAAAACCATGCGCAAAATTTAGTTTTTTTATCAAGTAGCGAATATAATTGACAGGAAAACGTAGAATAATAGAAGGAGCCTCTTTTGAAAATGGAGAAAATTCCATGTTTGCGAGTGTTGTTACGGCAAGAAATCACCTTTAAATCGTAGCCAACTAAAGACACAAATCATTAATAAAATTTAACAAGATTTATTATACACAAGTTTACAAGAAGTATTAATAAAAATAGAAATTTCAACTTAACTGTCAAAATATATGTCCGATCTTTTGTCTTTTCTTTATCCGGAATTCTTCTCTTCACTGTTACGGGAATCCAAACAGAATATTATGTCCAATTAGTCACAAGTCACAATCTAGTATGATGTAGTTAACGTGAATAAAAGTGTCAATCCAACTGAGAGAAATTATGAAAATATTAATGTCTATGTCTATCTCTGAAAGTTTAACTTTAGTGTCTGTATATATATAGTTGTCACGGAAATCCCTAGAACACTGTAGAAAGGAAACTCCGAGAAAACTATAGAACGGAAACCTCTAGAACAATGTAAGAAGTTTAAATTACGCATCTTTTTTTATGATCATTTTGGAATCGTTATGTAAGTCAAATAGAAAGTTCTAATCATTCCATCAGTCTCTATGATTGTTCCAGTGATTTCTAAATTGCACAGTTACAATATCATTTTGTAAACAAGTACAAATATTATGTAAACATATTATAAGGCCACACAAAACAAATTAGGCCAATTAAATAAATATGATAGTTATAATATTATAACAGTGTAAATTCAAAGTATAAAACTATCAAAGTTAACAATGACTTATCCAAGTTAAAAATGCAATAGAAATTTAAAA